TGACAGTAATAGCTCTCGCATCGTTCTTTTTTAATTATTAAATTTATAAATAAAAATAGAGATTTTGAGAGGCGGTATTATTTTGTTTCTTATATCAGAGACATCGAATAATACCAGATAAGAAGAAAAACACATGTTTTTGATAAATAAATAGTAAAAACAATTCGCTAACGCCCAGAGTTTCTTATTCAGGTGACGGTAATTGGGTCTTTTACCCTAAAAGTACGAAAATAAAAAATTATGCGATTAATAAATTTAACAACTTACTGGAGTGTGAATAACAAGAACTCCGCAATATCCTCCACGTACCATTCCGGCAATGCTGTAAATTTGCATGTAATTTCCTGAGGAAGCGGAAGTTCGAAAAGAAGACTACCCGGTGGCGTTTGCGTCAAGAGACTCAGCAAAACGTCGGCCACGGATATATAAAAGTGCAAACACCTTCGCAAAAATACCGGATCTATTAGACCCGCGTCCGCGCACAATTTCGATTTAACTAATCGTTTTAACTGTTGTTTCCACTGTTTGATCAAGTCTTTGTTGTGTTCCGCGAAAGGACTGTCTTTCCATTGTGGTTCCGTCGCTTGTAATTCGTCGAGCATCTTTTGCAAATCCCGTAACGCTCGCAATTTTCTCTGATACTTTTGTAAAGCCGGTATCAGAGCTATGTGATGACAATGTAACGTGAGAAACCAACATTGGGTAGGAAATTTTGCTTCCGACCATTTGTGCGTTTTCTCAAGATTTTTTTGCCATTCAGCGACTTCTTGCGAACTGAGTTTCAGTCTTGTGTCGTTCTTTATCTCGACAAGGCTGGATGGATGAAATGGATATAAAGGATCTATTGTATCAAGTTTGATCTTCACGGATAGCAATTGCAAAACCGACAATAGATTCAACATAAATCCATCACCGGCCAGAGAGAATTCTTCCGTTTGTATTTGAGTGCGTTTCTCGTTGAAACGTAGCAATGTCGACAAATACATTAAGGTTTCATCGCGACAATTGCTGTTCTGTAATATCGCGTGAAACATTTTGTACAACGAAGTTCTGACACTTTCCAATTCTTGCTGCAAAGTCAGATTCACCGATTTGTCCGTAACTGGATTTCCGCTGAAGAATTTTTCCGCCACTTTTGGTTGTTCTTCCGCAAATATCGATACCGACAGGAACGGGCCAAAAAACGAGGTCTTCGTGAGTTCTCTACCGGCGGCCGAGGTCAGGGTAATCGGCAAAAATTGAATCTGACACGTGATCAAACGGCAAATTGGACGTATGTTGCCGTTCGGACCGCAGCGAATTTCTATCAATTCCTCCAAAGCTTCGAGCGGTCTTCTGTGGGTGTTGCAGACCAAACTCGCTTGCTGCATCGCAAGATACAAACCTTGCAAGATAGGTGTGAATATTTTGGTAAACGCAGGTAGATTTGTATGAGTCCTGGCCACAAGTTCGTGAAGATAACCCCGAGGTAAGGTTTGCAACAATATCGGGTAGAGCAAGTGGGTGTTATGCATGAGCGAGCGCGAAGACGAGCGCAATACTTGGGAAGTACCGATTATTCCTTGCAAAACGAGACTGGAATACTGAACACATTGCGCTCTCAAATTTGTCAATACGTCGGAAAGAGGAGGTATGCTCGACCGCTAAAACATGCGCGCAAATATTGATTAATGAATTAATTAGTTGTGTGTGTGTGTGTGTGTGTGTGTACGTAAGAGAAATTTGCATGGTTTTTATATGTATATATATATATGTATGTATACCTTTGGATTATTTCTCTCCTCGACCGCGACTCTTGAATAACAGTCTAACAAATAAGTTAAACTTTTCGGTTGGGACGACTTGCTGCCTATAGGCACTGGTATTGGCGGCAATTGATAAGATGGAAGAGGAACGACAGGACTTAGCATAGGACTCGCTTGGCTATTTGGACTGTCTTCATGATCCAACGACATGTCGACCGTGACGTCCTTCAAAGGATCTTCCCCTCGCGAAAACATACACAAAATCTCCATTAAGGCCTGATTGATTATATCTTTAAAACTTAGCGTATGCGCTGCTTTCTGGGTGTAAGTTGCTGTTTGCGGCAAGAATATACTTCCCTCCGCAGGACTCCTCCACGATATGCACAATATACGCGATATGACTGTGTATATGTAATCTGTTGTGATCTCTATGCTAGAACTCGTTGTCTAAAAATACAGCAGAAAATTAAAAACGCAGATAAAAAAAAAGAGTCACAATAAATCTAATTGCAAAGGACAATATAAATATACGTTTTTTTTTTTTTATATAAAAATAACTTACACGTGATCTTGTAACGAATGAATATTTTCTATCGGATTCTTCCACTTCCATATTTTCTATTCCGGAATCGACATCTATTCCAGAAGTAAGACTTTGTTTGTCACTGCTTTCCTCCACTTCCATTAATACATCAGCGCGCTGTGATTGTTGTTGAATAGAAGGAGATATCGATTCTGCAAATACTTTTGACGGGCCTGGAGTGCTTGGAGAAATTGGAGCGGTGGTGTTGGATGAACCAGCAGGTGTGTTATTAGTGTTCAAGCCTGCCAAACGAGCTAATCGTCGTTTTCTCATCTAAATCAGAGTAAAAATAAACAAGTTGAGACTTAATAAAACATTAACAAACTCTGAGCAACAAATATCTTAATTAATGTACAAACAGTTATTTTTATCCGTTGATCGCAGTTTGCAACAGAAACAAAAAATAAAAAAATTTCTGTCACATATTAATATCATTAAAAAAAACTTCTCTTATATTTTTTTCTTATAAAATATGAATGTTATAAAGTTTTACATAAACTTTTTTAAAAAACCAAATTATTACAAACAACGTAAATTAAAATCTTGTAATATAAATTTATGCTATACGATTTTGTTGCGTACAAAGCAGACAAAGAAAAATATGTTGGTACAATAAAATACAATAAAAACAAAAGAACAAACTTAAGAATACAATTACAAAAAAAAAAATAAAATTAGAGATTAAAGAACAAATATCTGTTGGTGCAAAATTGTTGGAAAAAAATTGAAATTTCTGTTAAACTTTGCAATAACAAATAAGCGAAGAAACTAAACTGCACAAAATATCTGTTTAAAAAAAATATTATTTAAAACAGAAAGCATTGAGTCATGCGATGTTTTCAAATTGTCGCATTTTATATTTAAATAAAGAGGACAAGAATTGTTAATAAGATACGCTATCAAGAAAACTTGCAAAAGCATAATGCAAACAATGAGCTTGCATTCTTTGACGTTATGCGAACTATAGTTTCTACATTTAAAACAAACAAGGAACATATATATGTATATATATATATATATATATATGTATACATATATATATATAGAAAGAGAGATTTTAAGGACGAGAGAAAGAAGGAGAAAAAGAGAATGAGAATGAGAAAGAGAGAGAGAGACGAGAAGAGAAAAATCACAAAACGTAAGTCGAACAGATATTCGTGACAACAAATCGAAGATCTGTGTTCTCGTTTTGGCTGTGTTACACTCTTTGCACTTCGGGACGGAGATTGTTGGAGGGAAAAGGAGAAGGCGAAAAATAATCGCGAGACGCGCGGAGAATATCCCGGAATCACGCTCGGGGGAACGAATCCTCGGATCGATCAAAAAAAATCATGGGAAAATATCAGGAACGTTTGCGTGACGATGACGATGATGATGATTTTCGACTCACTTCTTCTTGGCTCAGCTCGCTCATGGCGATTGCTTTATTTTCCGTCAGAAATTGGTTTGTCTCTGTGTGAAAAAAAAAAAAAAACCTTGGCTCAGCTTTTTATTGGGGCTCCGGGGACCTGGGTTGTCTCACTCGCGCGCGCACTTGCCAATTGTCGCGTTGAAAATATACGCTTAAAAAAAAAGGGACTCGTTGGTTTGGCGGTGACAAACTCGTGGGTCCGAGATGTGTCAGAAATTTCGACAGTCACTCCACATCTGTTTTGGCGTTTGGACGTGAATGCAGTGGTCTGGCGTTGAATCACGGCCCACGTCCCAGGCCAACAGTCGCACACACAGGAGGCTCTGCTGCTGCTGCTGCTCTCTCTCTCTCTCTCTCTCTCTCTGAGTCGTCGTCGCTGCGTCGTCGATTCTTCAAAACAGCTGAGCAACCAACAAGCGCGTCGACACAGGTCGACACGCGCTCTGCTTGCGCGGCGGCCTCTCTCTCTCCGTCGTTATCTATTTTTGCCAAACGCCATCTATCAGAATCCAGATGTAAACTTTTATTATCGCAGTCTCTCTTCCTACTCTGTATTACATTTTTATGTAATTAGGGGACTGTTGTTGAGAGTCCAGCTGTGTGTTGTTTGCCGAAAGCGGCGGCAGCAGTTGCCGCGGATATCGGGACGAGATCGGATTTGATCGGGGGCTGATTGGTGGAAATTTTTGTGAATGCGATCTTCGATTACTCATCGACAAGATGAGCGCCGGAGAAGAAATTGATTTTTCATCGCTCGGTAAGTCAATCCAGAGGTCCCTCATATTTATCAGCTAAAACGTGAGTTTTGCTGATCTTTTTTTTTGTTTTTTTTTTTTTGACGGATAATCGACACTTCTGGTCTGGTTTATGCGGGCAAATAAGGCCTTGTTTTGGCCTTGTTTATGCGGGTAATAACTGTTTTAATTTATCCCGGAATTGGGGTACAGTTCAACTATAGGATTTCAATGCTTTTGTTATAATTCTGTTATGCTTCTGTTAATAAACAGAAATATTAAAATCTTAGGCTCGCATAAACCAGGTCTTAGACAAATACGCTCGTTTGGCGTTCAATGATCATTTATACGTTACGTACACAATCATCGCCGATTGTTTCGTTCTCGTTGTTGTAAGTAACTATAGATGCGCGCAAATATATATGTCTTGATCGATTGTATTTTTTTTAACAACTGCGTTTGCGACATCGCAAATCCGCAAGACGTCGGAAGCGTAAAAACCAGGGGGTAAAATATTTTTCATATATATACTTTATACACAAATTAAAATAATTATATCTAATTGCGCAAATTTATATATATGCCGAATATGTCCGTACAATTTTATACACGGAGAATTTTTTTTTTTTTTAAGAGAATAGGCTTCACACAGAGATATTCCATATCAAATTACAAAATAACTCTATTAGTTATCGTGTTAGATACAAAAAAAAAATTGTATAAAACTATATCTTTACTATATTTAAAAAAAAATTTTTGATATATAATCATATATACTTATATACACATAATTAAACTTATTATATCTAATGAATGAATTAAATTCGGGTTATTTGAGCCGTTTTGCAGGATGTTGTGCAGAGAATGTGCTTAAATATATATATATATATATATATATATGCATACACATATATTTAACGAAATAATTTTGTTCCCCATATAAGATGCTGGATTTGCATAACACATATATATGAAGGACTCCCGTATACCCCCCTAACTAATTTTAAAATATTGCGAAAAAAAACTATATTATATATTATATGGGGAAAAAAAATATTTCGTTAAATATATGTGTATGCATATATATATATATATATATTTAAGCACATTCTCTGCGCAACATCCTGCAAAACGGCTCAAATAACCCGAATTTAATTCATTCATTGGTTTAAAGACTTACGAGCCTCGCGCGAAGAATCTTATTCTTCTTTATTATTAATTTATTATATCTAATTATGCAAATTTATATACCGAATATGTCCATACAATTTCATACATATGGAAAATTTTTTACCGGGCAAATACATTGACACGCAAATTTCCTTGAGTTATAAAAAACAACGCTTCCAATTTGCAATATCGAACGTAAAGTAAAAATTGTGTAAAATTGAAAATATCGATCAACGATATAAGAATGAGTTTTTTTCCTTAAATCGACTGATCAATCGCAAATTATGTGCAAATGCAGCTTTTACAGAGCAACGCGATTAATCAAAATTGATCAAAATTGTTATTAAATAGAATATGGACATATTCGGCACACACACACACACACATATATAAATTTGCATAATTAGATATAATAATTTTAATTTGTGTATAAGTATATATGAAAACTTTTTTAACGGGAATATAATTCAGCAATTATATAAGTATCATTTTCGATACGCGTGCTCGTTTAAACGTAGTTTTCTATTTAATTATTATAGAGTTTTCTTATCAAAATTGTTTACTAGATTTACTTACTGTATATACGTTACATAAATAAGAGAAAGAAAGCGCACATCAACATATTCAATATGTTACAAGTTGCAATTTCTATCATGCAAATTCACATTGCGTGTGAAAAAAATAGTAAAAGTTACATGATGTTATGCATTACAAACTTTAAATTAAAAAAAAATATAAGTAAATAGTTTAAATTTATTAAACGCGCGCGATATATAATTTTGCGTAACAATTTTTTGACATTCGCGTTTGTTTGTATCGACAAAACTCGAAAGAAATTTAATTACTCGATTAGATAGATTAGATAGAGATTAGATAAAGATTAGATAGAGATATATATTTGATTAGATAGAGATATATATATATAAGTATTATTAATTGGTAATATATTTTTCGACACTTCAACTGTTATAAAAATTCGCGAAACAAGATATCTTTAAACTGCGCGTAATTTAATTGCACAAATTTTCGCGCGTAAATATGGCGACCCCACAAACGTGGTACGAGGGTGAGTTCGCTTTGAACAAAGATAGATAGACGCTCAAAACGCGTGAGCCCAAAAAGCAAACGCATTTATAACAAAACGGAATTGTAAACTATTATGACTTAAGGCTCGTTAAAATTAATAACAAGAAATATATAAGGCCTTACGAGCCATTCTCGGGATGTTGAGCGGAAACTTTACGTGT